TATTTTTTTTCATATTTTATTAAGTGCGCCTCACTAAGAAGTACACACACTCTAAATTTTAGATCATTCTAATTGGTAAAAAATATGAAAAATGAAATACTACAGAATAACTGTTACCGTGCGATGAAGTTTGGATGGTGATAAGGGTAGGCAAAATCACTGTTCATTTTCGCTTATAGGCGTTTTTGTAGCATTTTTCTATATATATATATATAAGAAAAAGTTAGAGTTGGCCAAGCTGCTTACATAATAATCTAAGCCAAATAGCTCAAATTGAATCTGGGTCCGATCCAATGTTCAAGACCTCATTTTGTATTTGAATTTTCATTTTTCTCACAACTCTAAATCACTTGAAAATTTGAATGTCTATTCTTTAAAAATAGGATAATCTAATAAAAATATAAAAAAAATTAATATGAAAAAATAAATTGACCAAAATACTCCAAAAACTTTTCAAAGGTATTTTGGTCAATTTATATGATCATAAGATAATTCTACCATAGGCTGCTTCCTGTCTTAGAAAGCATTGGATATTTCTGCACAAACTTCTTTTTCAATCTTGTGCTGGAAATCCTTTATCTCTTTTTGAATTCTAGGGTTTTCTTGTTTTTCACTAATTGTCTTATACCTTATATATTCCTTAAGAGATAATGGGAATTTTCCTTGTTTTGTGTCTTGTCTTTTATTTGATTGATTTATTGAAGTCTTGGTTTTTCTATGAATTCGAATTTGATTTTGTGGCATTTCTGATTTTATTCCTGTTTCATCCAAATTTATTATAGGATAAAACATGTTAAGGAATGGGGTTCTTAATATAACAAGTTGACTCAGATTTTTTACCATAATAAAAGGCATATCAAAGCAACTAGAAACCAGATACTTACTGCTAAAAAGTAGTGGATAATTTATATGAGCCCAGAAGATAAACAAGGAAACGTAGTGGATGAGGATGATGTTGTAAACACTTTGCTTTATACAATAACTCTACATTTTGTAGGCAATAATACATTACAGATGGAAAAATCCAATGATTTATTGTCAAATCTTATATGTCCCACTCTTTCCCATTATAAAATGGTATAAAGATGTTTTCTGATCGAGACTGCTAACTAGAGAAGATACAAAGGCAAATTACTAGAAGAAAAAGTTCGTCTCAAGACTCCCAAATCTATTTTCTGAAAAGGTAAAATCAGACTGAAAAACAAGCATGATGAGATAATACCCTGGGAGGGATATACATTAGGGCAACTCTCATATGAAGTTTGTGTCGAAGGACTAGCCCTATGCACTTATATTAGACTCAGAAGAAACTGGAAAAACATAGAATAACAGGAAAAAAAGAATTAGGTGATTTTTGTGAAAAATTTGGATACTACAAGACTTTAGGAACAAGGTATACCTCTAAAAGTAAGAATAAGGATAAATTTTATAAAAAAATATATAAAGAAAAGTCTTTTAAAACCGATAATAAACCTTTCAAAAGGAAAATGTTTAAATATCCTAAAATAGGAAATAAAAGAAAAATCCATATCTGTTGTAATTGTGAAAATTTGGGACATTAAAAAAATAAATGCAGAATTAAGAAGAACAGTAATTCTTTAGAAATAGATGAAGAAGTTAAACAACAAATCTTTCAAATTATAGCTGAAAATGAGATCTTATCAGATTTTGAAGAAGAAGAAATGGTTATTGGTGCTGTTGAAGATGAAGAATTTAATCATGTGTAGTTCTGATGATAGCCTGTCTGAAGAAGATAATAATAGTGACAATGACAGTAAATATAATTATTATAGGGCTATTCAATGGTTTAGGGCTAAATGTATTATCTAAAGAATAAAACCTCATTATAGACCTTATAGATAAGATTGAACATTGCAACAATATATCAAAATGGCTAAAGAAAACCCGAAGTCTAAACCAATAAATTACTCCCAACAAGAACCTTATAATTTTACGAATATCATAGAGATGGTTCAAATGAAAAGCAACATTAACAAGGAGGCCAATGTTCAGGAACTTAAACACGAGCTAAATGAAATTTGCAATGAATAGCTCTTAAAAACAGGGTTAACATCTTGAATCAACAAGTAACTTTTATAAGAAAAAACCAGAATACCAAGAAAGTGAAAAATCGTTTGAAGAAATAATGGAAAAATACACGACCAATCTTCTTGAAGAATATCCTACGCCTCATGCCTTAGATGAGCCTCAGGCCTCTATAAAAAATATGAATCAAATCCCTACGTTAAATCCATAAGAAAATGATGTGAACACACTAGCAAAAGAAAATTAAAAAATTTTAAATACATAAACATGGTTGATAAGATAATAACCCAAGAATGGTATATTCTAATCACTATGGTAGTAAGCAAAGACTATAGTTTTTAGACTATAGCCCTTATTGATTCATGAGCTGATTTAAATTGTATTAATGAATGACTCATACCCACGAAATACTTTGACAAAACAACCAAGGTCCTCAATACCGCAAATGGAAGTAGAATGATAATTAACTACAAATTATCAAAAGCTGCTATATATAATACCCTCAAAACTTTTTAGGGGTATTTTGGTTAATTTATATTTTTTTATGAATTATTATTTTTTAATACTTTTATTAGGTGAGACTTAATGAGAAGAATAAACTCCTAAAATTTCAAGTAATTTGAAGTTATAGAAAAAAAAAATGAAAATTCAAATAAAAAATATGGTCGTGACCGTCAGATCTACCCAGATTCAATCTAAGCTGTTGGCTGAGATTGTTATGTAAGCAGCCTAGCTGACTCTACAAATTATAACAAAAGTATAGGCGATCATGGGTATATTATTTTTACATTAATATTTGTGGCAAATATTGACCAAATAGTGCAATCTCTCTTGCTTTAAAAACCCACTGGTTTTCAATTTTTTACGGTGAATGTTAAATTTTATTTTTACATTAATATTTGTCGCTAATATTGACTAAATAGTGCAATCTCTCTCGCTTTAAAAACCCAATGGTTTTCAATTTATTACGGTGAATGTTAAATTTAGCATCACATATATGTTAGGAATGGTGATAACCAAAATTACCATTGAAGGTATGTGTTTTTGGGAAAATGAAATAGGACTTACTACGGGTAAGAAATAAATTATAGAGATCTCTATTGGGAGCTACATGAAAGGATAAGGGAAATACGTCTCAAAGAGAAAGACCATATTTTAGACACGTGCAATTTCTCATGGAATTTGGATTGATAGATTTCATTTCTAGAGAGAGATTTTATCTGTTAGTCCATCGGTAGTAGTATAGCAATGACAAGACGTTAGTTCTTCAAGAAAAGCGCAAATCTAGCTCTACAATGTTTAGAACGACGTATGTTTAGAACGACGTATTATATTGTAATGCAAAATTGTAACTTTCATTGTGATAATGGACTGCTACTCATCATTGTCATGAACATGACCTTTTATAGTGAATTATGTAAATGGACTGCTACTCATCATTGTCATGAACATGACCTTTTATAGTGAATTATGTAAATCGGACGTATCGTGTCGGACGTATCTTGTGTTTTTTATGATTATTTTATTTCTTTCCCTCTTTAGTTTTTATATTTGCTTATTTCTGTTGGAAATTGTTGGGTGAAAAAGTTGGGTTCAACTTACCCAACTTTTCTCAAAATTATTCCAACAGAAAAGAAAATTCGAACTCTCAAAAAAGTGTTGAGGATCATTCAGAAGAACAAGAGGCATTAAAAGAAGGTAGATTTAATAGATGGGGCATTCATCGAGAGAAGCATAGGGAGATAGAAAAAAGTGATTTAGTGAAAAAAAGGAGCTCACTTTGATGAGGCCTATCAAATTACGGGAAGGCAGGGAGAGAGTGAAAGTAAAAGAAAAAATGAACCCCATGGAGCATAGTGTGTAAAATACCATCACCCCTTCCTTGAAAGGCACTAAGGCACTTGGACGGAAGAGCAAAGATGATACGTATCCTCATACATTTCAGATGCTAATTTCTTACCATATGTGCGGTCAAGAGATTTCTCGAGAGAGAGAGAGAGAGAGAGGGCATAGCAGAGAGAGAGGGTATAGCAGTGCACAACGATGCTCCAAAGAGAGAGGGATGAATCGAAGCTTTTATTGATGATTTTGTTTTTTAATAATACGAGGGCAACAAGAATATAAAAAAATGGTTCACAAGTGATTCTAACTTGAACTCGTTGGAGGTTGGTTAAGCATAAAAAAATCCACACGTACATATACACTTGCTTTTGATTTGAAAGCATGAATATATGAGAACTCCCCCGTTTTGTCTTCAATTTCTTTGCCTTTTACATCAGACCACCTAAGTACAACGGGTGACGCCTTCTATTTGCTGCACAAAAACATCATATTAGTATCAGCACGCATAATTGGCTCCCCTCAGCAGCTTAGTTTACTTCCACTCCCTTGGTCAGCTGACCTACTTGGAAAGATTATTTCAATCTGAACTTTCGGAAACTACGTTAAATCACTAGATGGTTATTCTCCAAAAATAAAATTGAAAATTGAAAATTCTTGAACTTAGATCTCACCCTCTAAAATTTAGATGGTTTCTATACGATCTCGACTCATTATTTTTTCCAAGTGCTTAGAAAGTACAATTATAATTTTTTATTTCTATTGAGGTTAATCTGTTTTAAAGAGGTTATATACCCAAAATTTAGGTACCTAAAACTAATCCTAGGCGGGATTTTATCCGAGGGAGTAAAATGGACAACCTACTCTCGAGGGAGTACAATATCTTTTCGCTATTATTATTCCCCCTGAAAGTATGTAAAATTATATACAATTGTATAGATTAATTTACAGGTTGAGGGATCTAACCCGCACAATTTACAGTTGATGAGCTCCACCTTTGATTCAATATGCCACACCACCTGAAAACCCGTCTCCATCGTGGTGAAGGCTCTCGGTCAACCAGTAACCATCCCAACGGCCACCCACCCTCTGTATAGAAAGCATCAAGCAACAAATTTCATCCTTGTGATTGAAACCATCGACAAAATTAGCAACAAATTTCATTCTTGGAATTTTGCGAGAATTATAGGCAAACCATGCAGCAAATGTATAAAATGAAAAGGGGTAATCTAAAAGATATTCAAAACTTGAAATAAGGAAAAAAACTGATTTTTTTTTTTTTTTCCAATTTTCTTTTGGTCAGTGAACTTTACGAAGAAATTACATTTGTGCAGGGAAATCACAATCTTATGGAACATAATCTCTCCATGAAACTCCTGTTTTTCATTCTTTATTAGAGATTTGACAAAAAATGCCCATAAATTGTTAAGATAGTAAGAGTCGTAGATGCCAAAAGTGGTTTAGATTTTCAACGAACTTCCGCTTTTGCCAACTACAAAGTGCATGTGTTGGCTGGTTCAATACCATATATATCAGCCAAAGTTGAATAGAAATCATACCAAAATTGAACAATTGATGAAAAGAGAAACAAACAAGTTCAAAATAGGCAAAGACTTTCAGAATTTTTTCCTTTTCATTTGTGTGGTTGTTCAAGTCAAAAGCTTGGATATGATCCCGCAGCAGAAACCATTCTACCATTCACATTCCACGAAATTCTGGTAAGCAACAAACAGATACGATGCAACTGGCACAACAAACAAACCTGGACCATGGAGAACTCGAATATTTCCTCCTCTTCAGGCCGGGCACCTTGCACCCAAACCCGCTGCTTGAAGCGGCTCTGATGCGACACAACCATACAAGAATAGAGAATTAAACAAACTATTTTTACAATGTGTTCCTTTTTCTTAGATTATTAGATCCAGAGTAGTAAAAAAAAGAGTAGTAGATGATTACAGCTACAAGAGTTTCCTACATTATTAGATCACAAGCAGCTCTACGGTCAAAAGAAGCTTACCTCTTTAACCCACAAACTGCTCAAAATTTTCCTTGCCTTGTGACCGAGCAAGACCCGGTAAGTCGAGTGGTGGAATATCCGCCTGAATCGCTCGAACTACAAATAAATGGATCATCAGGCAGATATGAGGTCACAGCTATCAACTTCCAACATTTATTTAATAATTTTTCTCAAAAAACATAGAAGTAACTAAGATTTACTAACCTGTCCCAAATCAAAAAACGGCCCGAAGTAGGTAGACCTCTCAAAAGGATCAAAACCAGCAAACTGCTCAAGGCATTACTTAACTTAGAGCTAAACAATTAATCATAAATTTAGAACTGTATGCAAAATAGAGAGAGGGGCAGGATGAGATACTACTATGAGGGAAACAAGTTCAAGGATATGACTCTTACCCGGCAGGATGAGACACTCCTATGAGTGAAACAAGTTCAAGGATATGGACTCTTACCCGGTACATAACCTCAATCCCATGATCTATCTGAGGATGGTCATTGTGTTTCAATGCATCAAGCTGGCATTTCACTGCTCCTTCTGCACTTAGCTAAAATAAGAGATCATGGTTTATAAAAAGACTAGACAGTAACAAACAAGAATCACAACTTGAAATATTATTTGTTTCAGTTCAGTGAGCAAATGGATAATTATCAATAGATTGGTGAAACGACAAGTAAAACTTACATTGAGGCTGGGGCCAATTGGTCTTTTTGTACGAGACTTGACCCTGGAATCAAGCAAACCTTTATTAAGTAACAATAAGCAGATTAACATGCGGAAACTCTGCCAAGTTCTGTCAAGCACCAGCAAAGGGACACCAAGGAATACCGTGTGCTCATCTAGATGCTAGGATGACACGTGGATTCTTTTCCAAACAAATCAAGTTTCCCTTAGCAAAGTAAGCATTCTGAATTTATATTTCATTTTTTTAATAGGCATGCATTAAGATTTTAACGAAACTGAAATGCGCAAAAAGCAACATTAACCATGACTATGATTCATCATTGAACTTTGGTGCCAATTACTGTCATATTTTCAGAATATGATAGTTTCTCGGAGTCCTAAACTAATAGAGTAATATCATGTAAATCATGATACAATCAACCAAATGAATTCTACAATCCAAAGCAGCTGGAACTTTAATATTCCCACATCCAATCTTCATTGCTAATTTTGTCTAACTTGTACTCACTCTTACATTATTTATATTCCCTTTCTGATGTGGGACAAAGTCAATTGGACCCTATAGGAAGTGCATCAACCTTTCACGGGCATGTATGAAGATGAAAGAAGTGAATTAGGGCTTAGGAGTCCTTGTTAGGTTAGTAGCAATTATGATGGGAATCAGAGTCATAGTTGAGTTGGGCTTTCCAAGTTAGTTTCGGAGTCCTACTTGGTCTAGGGTTCCTAGTAGAAATAGGAGTTCTAGGAGGCTTAGGAGTGGTATATATTTTAGGAGAGCAGGGTCATTTGAGGACATCAAAGATATGGGAATGGGAGATCTAACTAGGTAGGATTAAAGCTAAAGTAATTGAGGAAGTTTCTGTATGATTAGGGAAACAATTGCTGATGGTTTTAGAGTGTGTGATAGGGTTGAGGTTGCTGTAAAATTGCAGGTCCAGCAAGGGTATATGATGCATTTGAAGGGAAAAAGCAAGATTAGGGCAAACTTGAATTGAGCTTCGAGGTATAACAATGGCTCTAGGAAGGAGGTTTCCTCTGCTATTAGGGGATTGGGAGGGGTCAATTTTGTGGGCTAGAAATAGGCTTACTAATTTGGTTTAGTGGAATTTTGGAAGGTGAAGTGCCTGGAGAGAGAAAAATGCTCAAACATGTGAGGGAGACCCTTCCAGCTCAAACTGAAGTCGTAGAATCACTTTCTCTATAAAAAGAGTTTAAGAATCTCCAAAGTCTATTTTCCCTATTAATGGACTCTTGAAAGCATAGAAAAAAAACTCATAAAGACTCTACGAAACATCATCAACATTTCCAAAAGAAGGAAAAAAGAGAAAAAGAACTCTATGAGAGTATCCAACTCCAAGGAGTCTCCATGTGTGAGGATAGAATCACTGCAGTAGACAATGGAAATGGAGGTGCTAACCTAGAGGATAATGAGACAAACTCGAGAATATAAATGGGGAAAAGCCACCTCCAAGAGAGCTTCCTTAGTTGGCCCTGCTTGAGCTTGGCAACATTGAGCAAGAAGCAATGCTGATGATTATGATAATAGAGCAACTTAGATTCGCATTGAGGTGGCTGATTGTTATAGAAGAATAGATCCTCGAATTCAATTGACTGGTTTACTAGTCTAAAGACTACTTTAATGGTACAGCATATGGGAAGCTAAGGAAGATCAGATTTCTTAAAGCTAAACAGAGGGCATCAACCAGAGTTTTGTGGAAAGACAAGCTTCTTGCATTGGTTCAGCCCACTATCCGATCTTGAGAGGAGATGAAAGCTAGTATGAAATTTCATAACGTGCCCACATAACATGAACAGATGTTTCAGAAATCACTCACCATTAAGCAGGGAATAGGACAGTTCATGAGTATTCTGGTGAGTGTTTCATGAGCTCACTCTTCTCAAAGATTTTCTATGACAGATGAGCAGCAAGTTGGGAGGTATAGGGCCGGACAATCTTTGGAGATTCAGCAAGAGATAACCGTTGGGAATTCATGGGCAGTTGGTGAGACTTAACAGACAGCTTCGAGGAATGAACAATTTGAGATTGAAGCTTTTCGACACTCTTCCCGAGTCGCAGGTACTGCTGTTAAGAACTGCCCAGCAGCATCCCTATTCAAACCCATTGCAAAATAATGAAGTCTCATGGTAAGGGTGTTTTACCACTCCAGGAAAACAATCAAATGTGGTAGGCTAGGTCAAGTGCCCCTCCAAAAATCTCAACCTGCTAGAAGAGTCGTATGAAGTAGTTGAGCAATGTGAAGAGCCGATGAACCCTCTGAAGAAGAAGAATTTCATTTGTCTGTGGATATCACTTCACAGATTTTGGGTGAGTCTTGCTCCATAGACTCTTCTGGTACGACTGCCCATTGGTGTAATGTCAACCATTCCCATGCTATGATACCCAAACTGATATAGACCAACGTAATTGGACCCTACACGAGTGCATTAACCTCCGGCGGGCTTGTATGGAGATGAAACAAGTGAATCATGGTATGGTTAGGAGTCCTGGTTGGGTTATAATTGGAATTAAATCCTACAAATTTAAGAGTCCTACTTCAGTTAGAATTTCTAGCAAAAACAATGAGTTCTAGAAGGTTTATAAGTAATACAAAATTTAGGACATTAGAATTTCGAGGACATCAAAGTCTTCTAATATGAATAGAACTTGGGAGTGGGAGATCTAAATAAGGTATGATTGAGGCAAAGTGATGGAAAAGTTTTTCATATAATAAAGAAAACAATTGGAGTTGGTTTTAAAGGGTACTGTGAGGATTGAATTTGCTGAAAAATTGGAGCTCCAGAAATTGTAAGTAATGGTCTTGAAGGGAATAACGCGAGATTAGGGCTAATGTAAAATTGGGGTCCAAAGTTTCCTTCGAACGCTTTCTTATCGCATTTGATTCAGATATTCCAGAAGGTATCCAGGACTGAAATCCTCCAAAGTCTTAGGCTCGAGAAGGGAAAGGAATTTAGAGAAAAGCAGTGGACTATTGGTGGATGGACTTTGGCACTACCCCTCGAAGGCCAAAAAAGCTTTAGAAAACCATTCCAAATCTGTGTTGAGGCAGAGGAAAATATAATCAACTGATTCTTCGTTGGCCATGTACATGATGCACCTATCTGGCATGGCAAGACACATGTTTGGGGTTGGTCGACTGTGTGTATACTTTTGTGAATAGCCAGACAATCAAAGAGTTGGATCTTTGGGGAGCAATGGGGGAGCCTTGCTTTGCAAGAAAGAGAGTTGCGTTTTGTCGTTCCTAAGCTCTCAGTAGAAAGAAGAGACTGAGAATAATCCTGTTATGGGGGGACCCAAAGAAATCTATCACGTCAATGGCCAGGGAGAAAGAAGGTATGGAGAGAGCATACATTGGCACAAGAACAGAGGCTTCATTATTAGATAGATCCATCTTAAAAGTAGGGGATCCAAATCAAATCATCATCCAATGATTCAAAGCAGGCTGAGATGCTACAATTTTGATCCCAAGCCACCTGAAGTAAAGAAGGGACCTGGTTTTCCAGGGTGCATTCCCCTACAAAAATGTCTTCCAAAAGCGCACCCTGGTACCAGATTTAGATACAAGCCGCTTCCTATTTGAGAAAGGGGTGCAAGCAGACAAGATACCTTTCCATGCCTCCTAACATTCAGAAGTTAGGGGATCCCTTTGGTAGCCAACCTAAATCATTGAGACTGTATTTAGCAATATTATCACCTTGTCAGAAGATTTAGTAATGTTCTCACACTGATTGCCAAATTGCTACTTCTTTCCTCTGCCCTAATAAATTTCATAATGCCCCTCTTCCCCCAACACTCATGCACTACAACACTCTTGGCTTGGAGACCCAGTCACAGACCCTTCTGCTCCCTTGTCAATTATAGCCCGCCACTTCCACACCTGTCCCTGTAGTTCCTCCCTTCATACCTTCAACACTCAAACAAACGGCCAGCCTAGTACTTAAACGCCCAGTCCGCCTACAGGGCTAGGGTGCTCTGCCTAGGCCTGGACAGGCCTCCCAGGGCACCAAGCCAGTGGGCAGGCACCTCACACCCAAGCCAAGGCCCCCGCCGCAGTTGGCCCTTGGGCAAGGGGCATTTATGCCTGTTTGGGTGATTTAGAGCTTGATATTCATCCAAAACATCTAAGGTTGAAGATCAGACAACAAAGGTTAGTAAAACATCTCTGCATGCAAATGTAATCAAATAACCATAAATCCATATAAATGTTTGACTTATAGTCAAGCTAATTGATTGTATCTATTATTATAAGAATATACTACAATGACTTATGAATGTTTGGGGCACCTAGAAAATGAGGTGCCCGCGTGGTTCTTAGGTGGCAAGACCAAGCATTTTTTTAAAACCTTGGAAACCTCCATGCCTTGGACTTTGCACAAAAACTTATGAGGCCTTCCAAGTTGCACCACCAATGGGGACTCCAACTAGCCCAAGAATGTTCAAAGAAATAGATGATAAAACCACAAAACAACTAACCAGTCGACACAAAACCATGTTTCATAATTAGATTGAGTTTACCGTCCATACCTAGAAGCAATGCCAATACAAAACTTTTAAGTAACCAAGATCTGGCTTTTAAACATTCGAAGTAGTCTGATTTCTAGATGTGGTAATTTCAAGAATCAAGCTGGTGGCGAGTAACAAAGGTCAATTGTTGTGTCTTCTTCTCAACATAACTAATGGAGAGACATTGTAACTAGTAACCATTTGAAAATATTGCTGTCAAGCAGCGGAAAATCAACACTTTTCTCACCCAACATAGCTCTCACAAAATCAATTATGTGTTTATGTAACACTCATCATCACATGACTCCTCATCACTATCATAGTTTTCATCGCCGGTTACAATGAGCACGAAACTACTCGAGCAATCATACTTTTGGATAATAGTTGCAAAGTTGACGAACGAGCTACAAACCAAATGACAAAAGAAACTTTTGTCCCTCATGGCAATTTCCTACAAAGCTAACAATGTGGTGTCATTGTGACAATGGGCAAGGGTACCATTAGTGTATACAATCATGAAA